GGAGCGCGTTCCCTGCTGCTCGCGCGCGGTCAGCAGCGATGGCCTCTCTGGAGGCGCCGTGGCGAGGGCAGCGCGTTTGCAGCGCCTCGCGTGGAGCTCCGCCGCGTGTGCCGCAGCCTCGTGCGGGGCCTGGGGAGCCCAGGGGAACGAGGCGCTCCGAAGTAACCGCCCTCCTGTGCTTGGAACCTGCTGGTCCTGTGTGCTTGGGTAGGCTGAGGGAATAAACTGAACGAGAGGGACTGGAGGATGCCAGTTTTACCCCTGTCTGTGAGTAAACTGGTGTTTTGGTTGTGGGAGTTTTGGTGGGAAGTGATATAAATTCCTCCAGCCTTTGCTCGGGGCCATAGCTGGCCATTGAGAACTTCCTGGTGTCACTGCTCTTCCATCAGTGGCTAAAAATAGCAAAATATACATAAATATCTATTTCCTACAGAATAAACGAGGCTTGTGTTCTTTTTTTTTTTGCAACCAGTTTGCCATTAAGCCGTGGTGCTGCCCACCTAGTTGTTTCTTTAATGTGGTCGCCGTTTCTGCGTGGAATTCGGGTGAACGTGTGCGGGAGAGGGAGGCAGTTGGCTCATCCTGCAGCCGCCGTAGGAAGCGGTTCCCGTGGTCTCTGCGGCACCGAGCGTAACCGTCTGCCTCCCTCGAGGCCGAGGGGAGCCCCTTTAAGTGCAGCAGATTCTTAATTTGGCGTCGTGCCAAACATATCATCTTTTAACAGCTTATGCTATAATATAATGCTCAACTGACTGGAAATATTCTCCAGATGTAATTCTGTTCGATGGAAGGGAATGTGCAATGTCTAAAATTCATACACGACCTATTTGGCAACATTCTTTAATAAAGATGTTGCTTTATGAGTTACTAAGATTGCAGTATCATTGTAAAATGATTACAGAGATTAAATGGATAATATCCCCTAGAACTACAGCAGGAGAGGGCTGCAGCTGCTATCGAGCAACGCTATGGTTTAAATGTTATGTAAAAACACTTTTTTTTTGGCCTAACTTGTCTACCAGGGGTTGAAATGCTGGCAGGAATATCCACGATGCTCGCAGCACCCTGATGTTGGCCTTTGTGGGCCCTTCCAGAGCGTTTCTGTGTGATACTGAGCAGGGCACCAGGAGTGAGAATACTCTCTTGTTACCAACCTGTCCTAGAGCTGAGCTGTAAAATTAGGCAATGGACACATCTATGACCAGTTTGTAATCCCATGTGGTGTTATGTGATTGATAGAGAAAAGAATTGGAGAAATTTACTGAATTCTGTATATTTTATTGCCTTCTGGGTAAATAATTTTCATCTGCAAGAACAGAACTGAAGAAGATTATTCTTCTCTTTGCCGGGCTGCTAAAGTCTTGTTTTGTGTCAGCGTTGTTGAAGGATTAAAAAGCAAAGGAGTGGAGGAATGATACCGGGGAAAGCTTAGGACAAAGGTTTATCGCGGATTGCTCAGCTCCCAGCCTGGCAGCTGCCAATACTGTTATCCTAAAGGGTCTGTGGGTGTCCGGAGCAAGTGTGTGCCTGTGGGTTGCAGAGACCTGAAGCGAATTCCTAAAGGGTCTGTGGGTGTCCGGAGCGAGTGTGTGCCTATGGGTTGCAGAGACCTGGAGCGTTTTGTGTATTTTGTGAAAGATAAATCTGTTTATTTTAAATTCAAAAAAGAGGCTTGCACAGTGAGCGTGCTGAAAAGGGCTTTGTACACGCAAAATTCCTTTGACAAGGCCGCAGCGTTGGAAGGTCATGACAACTCTCTTGCACCCAAACGCACGCCCGTGAGTACCATTTGTATCAGTCGTGCAAGCGATTTCTGCTCCACAAGAGCACGAATTGAAGAACAAAGTTTGTGTGGGGTCCTTGGCAGCCCACAGGAAGCAAAAGACACAAAATGCGGCTGATCTGCTACAATGTACAAAGGGGCCTGCCCCGCTGAGGATGGGAGAGCTGAGGGCCGGTGAGTTTCGTTGCGTTGGGAGCAGAGGCAGGAGCTGCTGCGGCTCCTCCGCGGGCGAGGGCGTTCGTGGAGCCCTGCGCGCAGGGCATGGAGATCGTCCTGCACTCCTCGTGGTAAAGGGCCTTGTGTCTTAGTCATATCCAATTTAAGCAAGTTCAACCCGCTCTACTAAACTAATGCTTAATCCACAGTGTTATTCTAATGTTAATGTGGTGTCTTTCCAAGGGTCTGCAGGCAGTAATTTAAAGAGAGCGACCTTTCAGTGGAGAGTGAAGCAATTCATTTACTTTTATGTAATTTGTAAAAGTGCTGTATAGGCCTCTTGGATGAAAACTGTAAAATGGGCATGTGGAGGTGTCATCGTGGGGGTTTCAGTTTGTGTAATTTTTCTGTTTTATTTCTGTACTCCTGTTAGGAGAAACTAAACTATTATGATTTCAAATACCAAAACCAGTTCCTTTCTCTTTTGTCCTATTTGTTAGAGTCATTTCTATGTCTGGTAGAAGACTTTATTGCAAGAGCAGATTAAAGATGAAGAGGGAAGAATTTGTTGCACTGAACTTCAAACTGCCTCTTTTCTGCTCCTGTTTTTAAAGTGAAAACTATTTCACTGTAGTCAGCTTTATCTGCTGAAAATATGAAACAAATAAATGGGATGCAATTGTAATCATTTTAAGAATATAGGAGACAGGTCATTTTGCAAAGTGTATACTGTCTGTTCTATGGAAGAGTTTCTGTTCAACAGAAAGTGAAATGCTACCAAAACAGAATTTGACTTTTTTTTTTTTTCACTCAACGTTTTGTAGATCAAAGTTGAAATTTTATTAGATATGTAGATAATAGCAGCATCTAAATACAGATAGTTGACTAACACAGTGTAGGTGTAATCCAGCTAACTGGCAAGCTGCAGTTTAAGGGAAGAATTCCTTTAGCTCACAATGTGAAATGTCAGTGTTTGTGCTCATATTTTGAACCCTAGGAGGATGAGCCAGTACAGCTATATGGAATTCATGACAGCACATGCTCGGCAAACTCTGTGGGACTTCCTAGTAAAAAATCAAGCAAAGACTTTCAAGGCAATGCAGCAGCAAGAACACACAAAGGTTACCCATCCTAATATTTGTGTTTTCCTGAAAATATCATCAGGCACTGCATCATGGTTTAAAAAAAAAAAAAAAAGCCCTTGAATAATCTCTCCTTTTTTGTTACTGATGATTTTCATTCCATTTATTAAAGGTGGGGTAGATGGGCAGGTACGGAAGGGAGGAAAGCCATGGATAAATATTTCAATTGTAAAGAGAAGTGTGATCTGAACGTAGGTGTGGAAGCAGAAATGTTAAAGACATCCTTCAGTTTGAACAACACTGTGTGCTTGTTTTTGCAGATTTTGAGTAGCTTTCATGCTTTGGTGGCTTGTGAGGCAAACGAGAAGCTCCTTATTTCTGCTTGAAATGCCCAAACTCCAATACTTTCTGTATAGGACTATGGATATAATAAATATTAAGGTGATTGCATTGAAAGAAAAAGGAGGCAGTGATAGATTCTATAACATTAAAAACAGATGTAGGTTAAAGGTGTATTGAATGTTAATTATTCTGTATGCTGCTACTGGATCAGTGAGGCAAAGTCCAGACAGGAAAATGTAACTAATGAAGTAACTTATGAAGTATTCCCTTTTTGCTTCCAATTCTCAGGTGTCCTACATCAGTCAAGATTGCGAAGAAATTCCAGAATTCCTGGGAAGAAAGTACGGCCATATGGCAAAAAGGCTTGATCTTAGTTTCAACTTGTTAAGGTAGGTGGTAATGCATAGATTTTTCAAGTGTGATACGAGTAATGTGGGACTCCCAAACCAGAATATTTAAAACTTATATCCAAGTAGGAACATACGTACATGTCGGGTACGTTCAGTTGTTATCACATGGGTGATAGTGTTTCGTAGGCAAGGCTTGTCTCCTCCTTCCTGTGGATTACAAGCAAGCAGGTGAGTCTGTAAATGCGTGGTGTTAACATAGATGATGTCCAAAGAGAAGCTCCTGGTTTGTTCGCTGCTTAAAATGGACACATTATAATTTGGAGAAGTGAAGAAAAATGGAAGCTAAGCATGTTATAATTTGGAGAAGTGAAGAAAATGGGAAATAAGCACATTATAATTTGGAGAAGTGAAGAATGAGTTCAGTGGTGAATTGTTCTCAACCGATACAAGTAAGTGCATGTTCCTCTACAGCCATTTTATTTGTACATCTCTGGCTATAACCCTGCATGTATTTTGATACTCTTCTCTTAGATAAAGCTTTTCTTTATTATTTTATTATTTTATTTTGGGTAGGTGCATCCAAGTTAACTGCACTTTGAGTTGTAAATAAATTCTAAGTTATTTTAATATATGGATTAATTAAGGTACCCATCAGTTATCAACTGTAATTTTAGACAGTATTCCTTTTGGTTTCATCCTTGTACAAGAGCCTAGTGGTATTCAGCAGTATATCTTATAAGATTTGCAGAAAGGAAGGTAAGTGTCATAGTCTGCTTAAGAAAAAGCATAGTCTTCTAGTGCTAAGGCTGAAGACCCTCTTATACTTTCCTTTTATTTCATTGAAAGTAAGCTGAAAGTCTACATGTAAGGAGGGGGTAGCATGAAAGTAGCATGCTAGTGTCTTGTACCAGAGAGACAACCACTGGTTTTAGTTTGAGTAACACTCATAACAACTGCTCTTCTGAGCCACTGTCAACTCTGAAAGACTCATTCCTATATGCACTGCAGAGCAAAACAAAGCAGGCACTGAACAGCCCTTGGATTGCCATCATTTTATATTTCTGGTTGATGACCCTGTACCAATAGAAGTTGTAAATGGAAGAGAAAATTTTGCTGTGGGGGGATTTCATTGGCATTTTTTCATTTTATTGATAGTTCTGGTTCATTGTGTGTGTTTGGATTTAATGTGTCGCCAACAAGAATGCTCTTTCCTCGTGCTTCTGAAGGAACCAGCTACGAAAAAAGAGATGTTCTCTTTCACTTAATGCATTATTTGAAGAGCAATTTCTCTGACTTCATTTTGTTTCACAAAGTAAAATATTAAAACACAATCTAGTTGTAAAATAGTGTTATAAAACTTTTCTGAAGTTTTCAGTTCATGGTTTCATGAAGAGCTTAATGAGTGAATAATTGGTGGAAAATTATTTTCATCCTTTCTTGCATTCCCAAAACACTGTCATTTAGGCTGCTTTTCAGTGAGGATGTGATTTGGTTTCATTGGGGCTTGGGGAAAAATGGACATTAAAATCTCTTCTGTGGAAAGGTGAGAGAAAGCAGAAGCCTTTTGGATAGCTGCTTATAGATGTGAAGTGTTTCATTGTGCACTAACTGCTTAGACTGGTGTGCACTTACATATAAGTATACTATAGTATAGTACTTACATATATGTATACTGTAGTGAGAGTCAGCTAAGATACAGGATAAGTACGATAGCCTTAAGTGAATGTGACTATAGAGAGAATGTCATGGGCACCTGTTGGAGTAAATCTAAACAAGAGAGTCTTTGTCGTGGTCTTTAAACAAGTGCCATCGCTGGAAAAATCTTGACTGCTGTAGTGAGCTGATGAGCTTTATGGTTTGCTTCAATGAATGCTTAACGGTAGTTGCTTCATTTAGACCGTATTGTTTTCATTGTATAAAAACTTTAAACACAAAATACGTCTATAAAAAGTAGTAAGGAGTTTGACTTACTGGAAAAAAAAATGTCATCTGTCACTTAAGGTGGATGTTGAGTGAAGATCAAGGGTCACCTCATAATGAAAATAGAGAGGACCAAACATAATAAAGATAAATAGAGGTAATAAAGATAAATAATAATATGTTTTGCAAGCAATAATATAAGGCACTTAATTGTGCTTTTAGTGGGGACATAGTAAGCAGTAGCTTTTGGCATTGCTGTGATATGGAGGAAGGAGCCGGAGTGCCTCTTGGTGGGTCGACCTCCTCAAGCTTTTTGCTGCAAGTTACTCAGTGGGAAGCTGAAATAGTTCTAGAAATGAGCATCTTAACTGAGGCATAGGGCATAGCATTTAGAGACTGGGAAGGACAGAGCAAAGGGATTTGTTACCTAAAGCACTCAGTACTGTTTCGGGTTGTGCGTATAGTAGTTTCAGTGAGTTCTACTGGAGATAACTTAAGTTGGATAAGACCTGTGAGACTGGACAATTTAGAACTGTTGAATATCTTCACCTCTAGCTGGGGTCAGTGGTGTTGGTGTTTCACAGGCTTTTGGTATGTTTGAAGATCAGATTTATAACTTGATTTGGCTTATGGTCATCTCTGCTTCCCGTTCACTACTTCATTTCTAGTAGGTCATTTGATTTTGTTAGAGAAGAAAAAGTATATATATATATATATATTTTATATATATATATATATTTTAGGTCAGCTATGGCTTTTGTCCATCAGGCAGAAGTATGTCCCCAACTGTAAAAAGAAGGGGCATGTACAGTAGTGTTCTTACAGTGCAGATTAGCAGGGAACACACAGTGTGTTGAAGTTGTTGCTTATGGTACATGACTGTCTGCAAAGTGCCACCTGCAAAACCCGGTGGGCTCAGAGCTGGGGCTGTGAAGTCTGGCCAGCAAAGGAAGGAGTTTATAGGTTGTCTGTCTGGGTGTGGGTAACAAATTCCATTTGTGGATCTACTCCAGCATTTTTGGAAAAGGAAATTAACTGCTGCATTAATATAAAAAAAGAAAAATTGCGAGCTGCATTATGACAGTTTGAAGGGAAGAGAAGTTTTCTGTAGTAAAGATGCCAGCTTTTACTATTTTGTGATTAATTGTTAGAGTATCTGTGTTTTCCTTGTTTATTTTTTTTCAGTAATCACTAATCATCTAGAACCAGTATTTGAATGAAATGTTCTCAATATCAAATTGGAAATAAGTCCTTCTCGTTCTTTTTTTGCTTGTTAAGTTTCTCAGGTAGAGTTTCTGTCTCCTGTCTTCTGTATGTATTGCCAAACGTATTTGAGAAGGAATCTTCCTCTGGTAACAGACAAAATATTTTATTACATGAAGATGTCAGCAAAGTTTCTGACAGCAGAACAATTGAATTAAGAGAATTAAAAAAAAATGGAACATTGCTACGTTGCATGAGGGAAAGATGTCTCTGCATTGTAGAAATACATTCATTTTTTTGTTTGTTTGTTTCTTACTCAATTATTTTAAGAAGTTGCTATGTGATCAGCTGGCAGCAGACACTCCTGCAGTAAAGTGCTGCCCTTTCAGAGGTGGAAATCCTGGCAGTTGTGGGCTTGAAACCTCTACCTGCATTCACACAGGATTATGCACTCAGGGACACTCTTTGAAAGATGCACCTCTGCTGTATGACAAAAATGTCACAGAAGCTTCTTAAATAAGGAATATGATTACTGGCATGTATAACGTTACATTTGATTGAACATTTTCTTCGATTTTACTGGTGCTGATACCACGGTAATGTAGGCTACTTGGCTGCAAGCATCAGGACAGAGCAAGGTAAGTTATCTGGTTTTCTAATGCTTTCCTCAAGCAAGTGCAGTGGGCACCTTTCAGGCCTTTCCAAAGGCTTGTCCTAACTGCGAAAGGGGTGAGACGACACCAGGGGAACTGATCTTTTCTGTGGAAAAGGTTTAGTCAAACATGCTCTATTTTATAACCTGTTTTAAACACAAATATCTTCTGCCAAACTTGTCTCTTAATAACATCTTTCAATTGCTGTCGTATGTATTTCTGAATTATATTAGATTGTTGCATTATACAAATCAAAGAGTTTTGTCCTTTTTTTTTTTTCTTTTTTCTTCCCCAAGCTTGGTTTGTTGGTACACATTTAGACAATAATTTTAAAAACGACCAGGAGCTCAGATCAGCTAATCATAGTTTATGACTACTCTAGGGAAATCTTCTAGTTTTTGGCTGTTCTCATACTTTTCTCTGGCTATTTTTTTTCCCTTGCTCTCAAAGAGGAGAAATTATGAAAATCCAGTTCTCAGGTGAGGTACTTTTGTTACTTAGATTTCTTTTTTTTTCTTTTTGGGTGTGACAGTCTACACAAAACTGGAGAACTCTATCTGAAGGCTGATAGAGCCTTTCATTGGCAATTATATGCAGAGAAAATAGATGTTTTTCACCAAATGTTTCCGATTTTGCAGTTCTTCCCAGGCTAGAACCCCTTCCTTTTCATTTAAACAAAAATTAGGACGTATCTACACAGTTGCCTTAGCATCAGACGTTTCAAGTTTTGTAACTGCACTTGGTTAAACACTCACAAAAAGTTGTTCTTTGAAAGAATTCATGTCTGCCTTGTTTGCCTCTCTCTCAGAATTATTTTCTATCTTTCATTAACCAGAGTGATGCAGGGCTCCAGCCGTTCCTCCCTGGCAGCCAAAGCAAAGTGAGTGTTGCGCGTTGTAATGGTGATTCATCTCCCCCTCTCCCAGAAGGGATAGGGAAGATAGAAGAGCGAACGGCAAAAGGACACTTTTTATGGGAAGTCTGGAAAAAAAAAAAGAAAGGAAGAGTAATAGGAAATTGCGTGGTGTGAAGAAAAGGAGAAAAAAATGGTGTTTGTTTGAAAGTGTGCTAGTTTTAATCAGCAAGATGCGATGCTACTTTACCTGTCTCCTGTTTACACCTCTAGGGGAGAGAAATCCTTCATCTGCAAATCACTGCAGTCTGCTTGTGGATGATGTCTCCTCGCTGCTCTCTCCTTTACCGATTTTGTCGAAATGGTTTCTAATTTCTTGTGTTTCCTTCCGGCGCTGCTGGGCGGTTGTG